ACGCTGGAAAGAGTCAGGTCAGCGGGCAGGTGCTGACGCAGCTTCCAGAACCCGGCCCCAGCCCAGCACCTCCTTGCCCATCGCGGCCCAGCAGCTCCAAGCACCCAGTGCCCTGTGCCCAACTCGGCTCAGCTCCTCCATGCTCAGTGCTGCTGGGGTGTGGGCCCAGCTTCACACGTCCCCTGCTACCCGGGGCATCCGGCATTGGGAAGGGTGGGTGCTGGGCCATGGCAGCTCGGGGAAGGGGTGCAAGCAGCTGCGTGCACCCACGTACCTGCCCCCCCCAGCTTCATTATCGCATTCGCATCTGCCTCGATGGTGCAGCATGTGACTTCGCTCCAGTGGGGAGGATGTGCCGGGGAGGGGGCGGGGGGGCGAGCGAGCGGTTTGGTGCGATGGAAAATCCCCCTCCCTGCTCGCCCCCGCGGGGCCTGCCCCTCGGTGCCGACATCCGGCCTGGGCCCAGCCGCCCTGCTCCGCTCTGGGTCTTCGCCTGCTTAGGCCCCTGTGCCCCCATCTCTCACCCACCCAGAATGGGCACCCCCTGCTCGGTTCCTGGGGTGGAGCCGTGCTGTGGTGGCGCTTTGGGCACCGGTTCCTCCCCTGGCCCCAGAGGCTCCAGGCTGCAGCCGGGGCTCCAGCACAGTGCCGCTGTGAGCCAAGGCCTGGCTGGGGATTGGAGCAGAGTGCAAGGGGCCGGGGCTCCTGCCACTGCAGACAGTCCCTTTAACAGCAAGCGGGAAGTGCTGCACACCCCGAGGGGGGGATGTGGGACCCTTCCTTTCCCTTCCCCTCCACTGTGGCAGCCAAATGGAGGGAGGTCCCTGGTGCCCCTCACTTCCACCCCACCACCCCCAGTCCTGGGGCAGGGACAGGCCCTGGGCACGGCTCTGGGGCCAGGTGTCGGGGGGGCGCAGGGCTGAGCTGCCTGTGAAATCGCCTTCCCGCTAATCCCCCGTAATGCGCCATAAGCTGCCTAGGGCTGTCAGGGCTCGTTGGCTTGGGGGGCGTGAAGGCTGAGCCTGGCTCATCTGTGCCCACGGATACCACATGGCCTCGCCTGCCCTGTGCTCATCCTACGCCTGCACCCTTTGTGGTGGGGGGCTCAGCTGCACAGGACTGGGAGCCCGAACACCTGGGTTCTCCCCAGTTCTGGGAGAGTGGGGCTTGGAGGGTTAGAGGGGCACAGGGAGCCAGAACGCCTGGGTTTTCTCTGGGGGTGTTGGGCAGGGTTTCCCCAGGGCTTGACCCCCCGGGGGCAGCAGGAGAGCCCAGCGTGTCCCTACGGAGCTGCCGGCCAGGCCAGGCCAGCTCCCAGTGGTGCCTGCCCTGCCGGTCGAGCCTGCTTGGCTGCGGGGAGGGGCGGCGGCGGTGACGCCCTGCGAAGCCAGCCGCTCCCCCTGGCTGGCACCCAAGCGCAGGGTGCGGCCTGGGGGGCTGGGCCAGGCTGGCCTGCCAGGGGCTGCCGGCCGCCTGGCACCTGGGGAATAGGGGGCACATCCCATTGCCCTGAGTGGCCGGTGCCAGCTGGGATCCTCCACGGAGCAGGGCAGGAGCCCAGGAATGTGGCTGGAGGGAGCTGGGTGCATGCTGGTGCTCCCCGTTCCCTGGCTCTCCAAGCCAGGTCCTGGGCTGAGCCCTTAGCTCTGGACACATTTCTCCTCTGGCAGTGGGGCAGGGGCTAGGCCATGTGGCAGGGGAGCTCCCTGCTTCTGCCCACGTGGCTGGGGGCTGTGGAGCCATGGGAGTCCCTGGCATGGCTTCTCCCCCTTGCAGCCCTCCATCCAGAGGCCCCAAACTCAGCCAGGTTGGAAGTCCCCTGCCTCGAGTTGGGCAGTCCCTGGCCAGGTGCTTCGGCACCTGCCTAGGCAGGGCGGGCCGGGGCTCCGGCGTAGGTGCAGGGTCGGGCACAGCCTGTCCTGCCAGGGTGACGCGTAGGACCTGCCGGGCTGTTTGCGCAGGGCTAGGCCGGCTGGGGCCTGGGCTGGCCTGGCCGGGCCCAGCCCACGCAGCAGGGAGGGGCAGCTGCTGGCACCGTTCCCACCCCACCAGCAAGGGCAGTGAGCGCAGCTCTGGTTGCCAGCCCGGCCCCAGGCCCTGTCCATACCCAGCCTAGGCCTCAGCCTGCTCCTGGCCATAGCAGGCATCTCCTGGGTTTCACGGGACCTGGGGCCCAGCGTCCCACGAAGCTGGCAGGTGCCTGGTCCTACGTGGCCCCAGCGGGAGGGGCTGGTCTGTGGCCATGGGGCTGGCGTGGCTGTGCTGCGGGGGCTGCTGCATGGGGGCTGCGAGTGGCGGTGCAGGAAGCCGCCAGTGCTGGGTGCAGCTTCAAACGCGCTGTGCTGAGATTTCCCCCTTTGCTGTGGTGGCGTGTTGGGGGCGGCAGGCGGGCACCGGGCCCGCGCAGGG